AGGTTGAAATTGCTTCAAGAATCATACTATTGAGTCTGCAAGACAACATCAAAGTGCCAATTCCCTTACAAAAGCAAAGATAGAGGCTTTGACTATGTTTGGTAGACAAATAAGCTAGCTTATATCTTATTTTGTTAGCTTATAAGCCTGTATTTAAATAAGCTTAGGACAAGCTTATTTAAAAAGCTCGAGTTTATCTCATAAGCTTCTTTGGGTAGCTTTTCAAATAAGCTCTTTGAAATTTTTATTTCAACTAGCTTATCAGCTAATTTTACCTAACACTTTTATCATATAAGCTAGCTTATCAACTATAAGTCATAAGCTATAAGTTATAATCTCAAAAGTACCAATAAGCTATAAGCTAACTTATCAAGTTAGCTATGTTTGGTAAAACTAGCTGATAAGCTAGCTTATAGCTTATTAGTAATTTTCGAGCTTATAGCTTATAGCTTATGACTTATAGCTGAAAACTAGCTTATTTGATAAAAGTGTTTGGTAAAATTAGCTTATAAGCTAGCTGGAATAAAAATTTCAACTAGTTTATTTGAAAAGCTACTAAAAGAAGCTTATCAAATAAGCTCGAGCTTTTTAATAAAGCTCGTCCTACCAAACAGAGCTTATTTAGATACGGGGAGCTTATAAGCTAATCAAATAAGCTATAAGCTAGCTAATTGGTCTACCAAACATAGCCAGCAAACATAGCCTTAGAGGTCATCAAATCTGTGAAACCCACCATAACATACTAAAGCAAAGCAACAATATTACAAGCTTTAGCATATGAGGCAGACAGGAATCGAAGGTAGATAAAATGGTTATCTGAGTTGGCTCACAAGAATAAATTCAAACAATAAAGGTGTATTACATAATCATCAGTTGAGATATCAAGAAAAAGTAAAAAAAAAAATACTTCTAAAAATAAGAAATTCCCCTTTACGGCATTGCAAACTCCCTGTTTGCGGATGGAAGTAGTCATAATTCTAATAGATGGTGGGATTTTCATTGTTACTAGACTGAACCATCAACCGATAACATAAATTTCATCAAAGCCAGAGTGGCCAATCCGCACCGATTTGCAACTAATGGGCAAATCTTTAGCAGTACAACTCAATTAGTTTCAGTAAACTGCATGAGGACACTGGAACTATAAACACACAGCACATACTTTGGTGCATCGTTAACTTCCTGTGGGCTTAGGGGAGACTTGCCATTGGAATTGTCTTTGGAGCCGCAAGCATGAGGTGACATTTTAGTTTGAAGCTCTTGCATACTTGTGGCAGTTGCTCTTCCATTTTTAGGAGTAATAACATTTGAATCTTGTCCATGGTTTGCACCAATGTTCCGCCACTTGTCCTGAGATAAAGCCGCAAAAAAGACCAAACTGTTTACTATTTTCACCAAGGTTGTTGTTTGCCATTTTTACCAAATCAGATGGACAAACACCATGGTTAATGCCTTTCACATTCAATTAAAATACATAGATTACATAAGAATTTGCAGAAATTTTCGAGATAGATGATTCACTTATTTTATATGACACAGAACTCAATCTATCCTTTTACTTCTTTTTTGCCAAAACACCAACTCTGAATAAACTGAAAAACTACATAAATTTTGATTCATTATAAAAAACCCTCACGAATTTAAACAATGGGGGCATTTGGAAGAACAAGGGAGCCGAAAAAAGAACGAAAATCAACGAGGCTGAAAAGGCGAAACCTTGAGGTCAACATTCGATCGGTTGGAGAGTATGTCCGCGAATTCGGCGTCCACTAGAATAGTCTTCCACTTTCCGGCGCCGTGCTTCGCAATTCCGGCCATGAGCGCCTCCTCCTCCTCCGCCGTCCACTTCAGCTTCCGATTCCCCATTTTTGCACCAAATATCACGCATTAATGCGACAAACGAGCGTATCTCGCCGTGAATTGCAATGTTGTAGGGCGAGAGAGTGTCTCTGAGCTTCCTTTCGGCTCGGTGGGACCAACGGTGGAGAAAAGACACGTGTGGTGAGTTATCCTGTCATCTTTGTACTGGATAAGGCCAACTTATATAAGTATACTATAGGCTATGTTTGGTAAAACTAACTGATAAGTTAGCTGATAACTTATATGTAATTTTTGAGCTTATAGCTTATAGCTGAAAAATTAGCTTATATGATAAAAGTGTTTGGTAAATTAGCTGATAAGCTAGCTGAAATATAAAAATTCAACTAGCTTATTTGAAAAGCTACTAAAGTAGCTTATGGGATAAGCTAGAGCTTTTTAAAAAAGCTCGTCCTACCAAACGAGGCTTATTTTAATATAGGGAGCTTATAAGTTAACCAAATAAGCTATAAACTAGCTTATTTGGCTTACCAAACATACCCATAGTGTGCAACTACACAGATATAAAACGCATTTTTGTTTGTATTTATTAATTAGACATGTACTTCTATCACATACAAATTAATATTTTTTCTTAAGTTATTTTTATCATTCAAAATTAATTGAGATTTAAATTTTATTTTAATCATGCAACGGTTACATTAGTAACAAGAATAAAATAATGTATATATTTGGGGCATATATTTAAGAAATTAACATAAATAAAAAAAAAAAATATTGGTGTTTCTGATTTTTTTTAAACAAAATATGTGCCAACCATATTTTTCTTCCAACAATGCAACCAAATATAGCGGTTACAGCTCTGAATTTGCCAATCAACTTTTAGTTCCAACATTAGCCGTTACACATTTGAATATTTTGCTACCAAATTTAGAATTAATTTAGTAACTAATCCAAAATATAAATAATAAAAATTTATATATTAAGGTGTAACGGTTTTAGCAGATTAATGAGTAATTATAGTAATACTAGGGAGCCAACAGTTGGCTCTCTAACGGAGCCAACATCTAATGGGACAGCTCCATGTGGGGCTGTCCCACATTAGAGTCATGTGCGACAGCCCCACATAGAGCTGTATAATTGGTTGTTGGCTCTGTTAAGGAGCCAACTGTTGGCTCCCTAGCATCACTGTGAGTACTTAATTAAAAAAAGTGTAACTCCTTTTGGAAGAAAATGAAAATAGGTTTTATTAAATGTTTTGTTAAATGCATCACCTAGTAATTATATATATAGATTTGGTAATATTAGCTGATAGTATAGTTGATAGTTGATAAGTGCATTTCGAGCTTATAACTAACTTATGGCTAATGGCTGAAAAACTAGCTGATATTGTAGAAAAGTTTGGCAACTTAGTTTATAAGCTAGCTAAAATAAAATTTTCAATGGGTTTATTTGAAAAAATACTCATACAAATGAATGTGTAGCTCTCCTACCAAACCAAGGCTATGTTTGGTAGACAAATAAGCTAGCTTATAGTTTATTTGGTTAGCTTATAAACTCCCTGTATTCAAATAAACATCGTTTGGTAGGACGAGTGTTTTTAAAAAGCTCGAGTTTATTTGATAAGCTTCTTTAGGTAGCTTTTCAAATAAGCTAGTTGAATTATTTATTGCAGCTAGCTTAACAACTAATTTTACCAAACATTTTTATCATATAAGCTAGTTTTTCAACTATAAGTCATAAACTATAAGCTATAAACTTAAAATTTACTGATAAGCTATAAGCTAGCTTATCAGTTATCAGCTAATTTTACCAAACATAACCTCAATTTATTTGTATCAGACAACTTATAAGTTAAACAAATTAGCTATAAACAACTTATGATGCTTACTAAACACACTCTACGTGAATATCGAGGATATAACTTATATCTTATGGCTTACAATTGAAAAGTTAGCTTATATAATAAAAGTGTTTAGTAAAATTAGCTTATAAATTAGATGAAAATAAAAAATTCAACGAGCTTATTTGAAAAACTACCCAAAGAAGTGTGATAAGCTTGAATACTTTAAAATAACACGTTCTACCAAACCACACTTATTTGAATATGAAAAACTTATAAACTAATCAAATAAACTATAAAATAGTTTATGGTACTTATTAAACACACTTTTAAAATTTTGTTTTAATGTTTGAGCTTATCTGAGTGATAGATGTAAAATTTAAATAT